GCTTTTCAATGTAAAATTGAGTTTTTTAGTTTGGATTTAAAGGCATCAGCAGGGCAGAGCCTGCTGCTCTTTGTCTGAGCTGCTCTCCAGCTCTAGAGCGGCCTCTAGTGTCGGCTCGCTGGAATGGCAGGAGGATAGCAACCAGCTGTCAGTTAGTAGAGGGGATAAGATTATACATTTAGTGTCCTCATGAAACTTTACAATCTTACATTATAGCAGAATGCAGTTAATAGCAGTTCTTTTTAGCTTTGATTTAGCTCAATTATGTTCTTTTGAGTGTCTTTCAATCAGTTTTGGTGATTTTGCACAAACACAACAGTGTTTTAATAACCTTTCCCTTAATCACACTGAATCCAAATGACTAATTTGTTTCAATTCTTATAAATATAATGTATTTTAGAGTTAATAAGAAGACTGGCCAAAGCGATATTCATATTATTTTGGAGTACAAAATACAATATGGATAATCAGTAAACTGGGATTTTCTCTTTTTCCCATTCTCTCTTACAGTATTTACTTAATTTTTAAAACATATTTAGTAAAAATAAAATATATTTTTAAAGTGATATTCTATTTATTCCAAATGATATCACAGTGAAATAGTGACGTCTAAACAAGAGATGCACTGTCTTGGCCACTTTCCTCCTAGATATAGCAACCTTTCAGACATTGTTAGTAACTTTATTTCTAAAAGCAAAATGTTTTCCACCAAATATTTGATGGGATCCTGTTTTGACTTTCTTCGATTTTCTATCTCTCTACCAGATGTTTAGTATTCTTCTGGGGCAGATGTTTATTAGTTGTTTTCCTTTTTTCTGATTCATCCATACAGCATTACCTGCTTAACATTGTAGTTAAAGATACATATTTTAATGATGATACACATTTGTTTCAAACTCCACAACACTGCCTACACTGTGTATGTGAATGCTTGTTGCTGCATAATTTTTGTCACCCCAGAATAATCTGTTATTTTCCCATTGTATTGTAACTACAACATTAAAGCAAAAAAAAGGGACGGATTGTTGTCAGTGCCTGAAATCTGTCTCTTCTCCTTTCGTCTCCAGAGAACGACAGGCCGAGCTCTCTGGTGTTGGAGGTGATAGACTACAACATGCCTCTCACCACCACCTACATGAAACACATGAAGCTGCAGTGCATGAGCAACAACAAGGTACGTGAAGTCACGGAGGCCAAGCTCTCCGTATGAGGCTGCAGTGCCACATTGTTTTTAATTTACGCTTCTGCCTGTGCTGTCAGACAGAATATGTGTTGTGTGTGTTTCTGAGCACCCTGAAAGCTCGAGTATTTCCCTGAGAGTGAATCATAGAGTAAATCTTGACAAACCAGCAGGTTGTTTTTTACACTGGAGTGTTGAGCGAAGACGTGTAGGAGGCCCACTAATGCCTTGCTGGAAAATATAACTCCCACACATCGACTTGCAATTAAAACATTGTAATGTTTCAGTCTGTCAGTCCTGGAGGTCAGTGGACTAAAACCATTTCTTCTCATTAGGTACGAGACAGTGTTGTTTGTGTTTTTTCTGCACTGAATGCATATTTATCCAATGACTAATTTATGTTAGCCTACATAGATGTGAACAATGAATGGTTAGGCAAGTAGATTGATTAACAGAAAACAATATTTTTTCCATTTCTCAGAATAAAAAAGGTTTCTATAGAAAATATACCCAGAAGAGCTGGTTTTCCATTCAATCACTTTTTACTCATCAACTAGTTTACTATCAATGCACTTGACATTATTTCAGAGTAATGTAGAATAGTGTGTGTGTGTGTGTGTGTGTGTGTGTGTGTGTGTGTGTGTGTGTGTGTGTGTGTGTGTGTATGTGTGGTCTAGCATTACCATCCTTGTGGGGACCTAAATCTGTTTACACAGTCACGTGTNTAACTGGGCTAATGTTAGGCCCCGTCCACACAGAGACGATATCAGTTGTATCCGCTAACGTTCTTTATCATATAGACCAGCGGTCCCCAACCTTTTTTGGCAAAAAAGGTTGGGGACCGCTGGTCTATATGATAAAGAACGTTAGCGGATACAACTGATATCGTCTCTGTGTGGACGGGGCCTAACATTAGCCCAGTTAGTTTTATGTGCTAATGAGTTAGGCTAATGTTCATTATGACAAAAGTTGTGGATAACTTGTCTGTGTCGCCTGCAACACCCCCCTTTTTCGTACCTAAACAAGCAAAAGACTTCTGCATAGTTAACCTGTTAAGCACTGAGCCTGTTTTTCAGGTCTCAGGCTCAAAAATGACATTTCCAGAACAAATTACCATAACTACAATTCTAAAAGGGAAAAATTAATAATCTTTTTTCTCAAAGTAATGATAAACCTATGAGTTGGATGTAGAAAAGTCAGAATCAATATAGATGTTTTTTATTTTAAAGACAATTCAGATTGAACATAGTAAAAAACTGTAAATTATAGTGTCCGTCCAAAAATTCTTTTTTACTTATAGTGAAAACTACCCTTGGATGATGGTAAGGTAGACTAAAAGCTTTAGGAATCCAAAGTACAACATATAATAAGTACCCTGTATCAAGATTGATGCAAAACAAGTGACATTTGACCTTTTTAGAGAGGTTTAGCAAAACGAACTCCACCTCTGAGGTGATTTGGGTGGAAATGGGGGTTTTACCGTTTCTCTGGAACCCATTGCTCGATTTTGTTGATTGACATCTCTTTCCGACTGTTACGTGCCGTAGTGTGGGTGTGTGTGTGTTTTTCTCTCTCTGCCTCTGATTTCCTCAGGTGCA